CGCTACAGGTAGTTTTTGATGCCTTAAGGAAGTTTGATGGAAAGGAATTTAGACAATTGCTTCCTGGAGAGTACACTCAGATGGCAGGGCGTGCTGGCCGAAGGGGACTTGACAAAACTGGCACAGTTGTTGTCATGTGTCGCGATGAAGTTCCTGACGAAAGTGATCTGAGGCGTATAATTGTGGGAAGCGCTACAAGATTGGAATCTCAGTTCCGACTAACCTACATAATGATCCTCCATCTCTTACGTGTTGAAGAATTGAAGGTATCTCAATGTCTGAACCAAATAGCTGCAGTTTCCATGGATTTCCTGCCCATTACCCTTTTCCTGGACTTTTTCTGACTCACTAGTTTTTCAAATGGTTGTTATTGTAAGGTGGAAGACATGTTGAAAAGAAGCTTTGCTGAATTCCATGCCCAGAAGAAACTGCCTGAGAAACAACAGCTTCTCATGGTAAAACGTGCTCTACCAACCAAAACTATTGAGTAAGGCAAAACAACTGAACATGTGTACCCCATCTACTTTACCGTCTCCTTGGGTACCTCTATATTCAACATCTCCAGATGATATAACGGAATGACCTATTGCTTTTGTGCATCCAGCTGTATAAAAGGTGAACCGGCCATTGAAGATTACTATGACATGTATATGGAAGCAGACGAGTGTAACAGCAAAATGTCTGAAGCAGTTATGCAGTCTTCTAGTGCCCAGAGTTTTCTTGTACCAGGAAGAGTTGTAGTCATGAAATCAGAAACGGTCAGACCCCAGTCTTCACCTCTCTTTTTTTCTGCTCATAACATGTTTTGCTCATGTGTGTAATTTTTACAGGGCATAGACAATTTACTTGGAGTCGTACTGAAAGTACCTTCAAACACTAATAGACAATATGTTGTTTTGGTTATAAAATCTGAAATACCGCCACCAGAGCCAAATATGGTCAGCATTGGCAAGAGAAGCTCAGACCCATCTCAAGGCTTTTTTATTGCGCCCAAGTCAAAACGTGGTTTTGATGATGAATATTATTCGAAGGCGAGCTCTCGTAAAGGTTCTGGTGTTGTCAAGATAGACCTCCCGTACCATGGAGCCGCTGCTGGTGTAGGGTACGAGGTTAAAGGGTTTGATAACAAGGAATTCTTGTGCATATGCGTTAGTAAGATTAAGATTGATACGGTGCGTCTACTCGAAGATGCGAACAAGGCAGCTTTTTCTCAGACGGTTCAACAGCTTTTGGATCTGAAATCAGACGGAAACAAGTATCCTCCTGCTCTAGACCCAATTAAAGGTTCTTCAGCTAAATTCTATCCCCGTATCGTTTTTTTTTTGTGGCTGCAAATTCATTTTCCTCATAGTTTCATTTCATGATTCTATTTCAGATTTGAAGATGAAAGATGCTGAGCTTGTGGAGACGTACTATAAATGGACCAACCTATTACAAAAGATGTCCATGAACAAGTGCCACGGTTGTGTCAAATTGGAAGAGCACATGAAGCTAGCTAGGGAGATTAAGAAGCATAAGAAAGATCTCAAAGATCTCGAATTCCAAATGTCCGATGAAGCCTTATTACAGATGCCCGCGTTTCAGGGCCGGGTACGATTCGAATAAGAAAAATTATTCCTGCATCTTTGTTTCCTCGCTATGCATGATGAATTTGAGTAACATGTAAAGCTCTCTAAACACTTGTTGCAGATTGATGTTCTGAAGAAAATTGCTTGTATAGATGATGACCTCGTCGTCCAAATCAAAGGCCGTGTCGCTTGCGAGATGAATTCTGGGGAAGAATTGATTTGTACAGTGTGTCTGTTCGAGAATCAATTCGAAGAATTGGAACCAGAAGAAGCAGTGGCTATAATGTCTGCCTTTGTTTTCCAACAGAAAAACACTTCGGCTCCTTCACTTACTCCCAAGCTGGCTAAAGCTAAACAAAGGTTTGTTACGTCCACACTTCTTTCCCTTCTCATAACCACAAACAGTAATTGATGTGATCTGATATGAACAATCTAATCATTGACCCTCTTTTGTACAGACTCTATGATACAGCAATCAGACTTGGTGAACTTCAAGCTCGTTACAACTTGCAAATAGACCCAGAAGAATATGCTCAGGAGAATCTCAAATTTGGCCTGGTCGAAGTCGTTTATGAGTGGGCAAAGGTCTGTAACAAACCAGATAGCTCTCTTTTCTTATACATTGCGCGATTCACACATCCTATTGAACATATTGTATGCTCGATTTTATTTGCAGGGGACTCCATTTGCTGAGATCTGTGAGCTGACGGATGTTCCAGAAGGTCTGATAGTAAGAACCATTGTGAGATTGGACGAAACGTGCCGTGAGTTCAAGAACGCAGCCGCCATTATGGGAAACTCGGCGTTACACAAGAAAATGGATTTAGCTTCAAATGCTATAAAACGTGACATCGTCTTTGCAGCTAGTCTATATGTAACTGGAGTGTAGGATTTGATTATGAATCTGATCAAAGACGCTTCTCACTTAACTTGAAGATGTTTTGATCCCAGAGATGTGTATTGTTGTTAATTAAACCTCTAAAACTCGTGCAGAACCTACGATCATTCCTTTTTTTTTTTCTAATAATAGTGCAAAGTCAGTTATATCAGTCTTCAAGATACATAATATTTTCAAAACTTTTCAGATTGTTACACCATCTTTGTGTAAGAAAAAATTATATCGGTGTTAGGTATATTGAATAAAAAATGTATTTACTGTAAAAATGGATTGGAGTCAGAAAACCAATGTATTAAAGAAAAATGACAATATTATTTCCCAATCGGATTGTGTATTAGAAACGGGTCGGAATCAAGTCGAATTGAGATTACAAAAATGGTTTCATACATTCAGCTGGCTTGGAACAGAGCTGGATATCCGGATTTTCAAAATATCCGGATTCGCCGGATCTGCCGGATAATCAATTATACTATCCGGATAATTAATTATTCATATTCTTTTATTATAATTTTTAAAAATTAATTTTTTTTTTTAAATTAACAAAACCGGATATCACTTATAGACAATCTAAACATAAAAATACTAATATTCTCAACTGAAAGATTTGTAATCTACTTTACTATCATATAATCAAATCTTTAACAACTAAGATAATAAACAACAACGAATATCTTCAAGTAAGGGTTTCTATGTTTTTTATTCTGAAAAAAAAATTAACAAATTGTAAATTAACTTACAATACAAAATACAATATCTTTATGGTATTTGTTTATCTAAAAATGAAGATTAACAAAGAATTATCTATAGCCACATAATACATAATGCAAAAAAAAATTTTATGAGATCAACAAAAGGGGGTTAGAATTACCATGTGGCGCTTGAACGTGGTGGATGCCCTGATTGAAGAATGAATTGTAAAAATAACATTTTAATGAGCTCTGGGCGCTATTAGTGCAACTAATTGGGTACTCTTTCTACAATCAACTTTTGTTAATGATCTTAGAACCCACGACTTTTACTGAATCTTCTAATTTTGCATCTTCTTCAATTGTATATGTTCATTTGCTTATAATGAATGTCAGTGCAATGACTAGAAAAGTCACAAAGTTAATTTGGCTTTAGATGAGTAAATTCCGTATTCTAAATGTATTTTTTTATTGGTTTAGCTTTCTCTCTCTTCTCTCACTTCTATTTTTCAGAGGGAGAAAATTTTCTTTCTTTTTTTGGTTGTAAATTCCGATTAATCGGTGTTAGTTGCTGATTTTCGGATTCAGTTTTTCCAGTGATATCCTAATTTAGTTTCTTGTTTTGGTTTTCTTTTTCTCTTTTTGCAGGATCTATGTCTCTTCGAAGAGACAAATCCCGAGAAATTGTTCAGAGTTCTATGTTCATCGACGCTTGATTACTTGCATACAAGTATAAATTTTCATACCACCTTATGGGCTGTTGAACCAGTTCGGATGAAGTTTCTCCGTATGCTGTCAGTCGAGATATGCGAATACCTTCGATCGATTTAGTTTCAGACTTAGACGAGCGTGTTTGCATCTGTGTCTGGTTTGCTAGATCTAACGAGGTGTTTGGCGCTTCATTAATTTGATGGAGTGGAGTTAGAGATCTCTGTTATCAATTGCTCGGTGAGCTCTGCAAAGGAAGATGTAGGTGTGATACGCTTTGAAGCATTGATTTGGCGAAGAAGATTGTCGTGGAGGCGAAAACCAGCGATTCATCAGTGACGATGGTGGAGTAAACCGGCAGAATTCACATACTTCTTCTTTTAATGTCACGTGGATCTGAGTTTTTCTCTCTTGAACACATGTTCTTAAACGTGTAATGTTGTAATGTGTTCAATTTTGTTTTGGACCTGTTTATATGAGCTTAATTTGTATCACTTATATTGCCCTTTGAGGTTTTGTTTAATAAAAAATGAATCGACAAAAATGTATTTTTTATTCGTTTATTACTCCATATAAATGTAAAAATAAAACAAAGAGATTCATCCCATTTTCATGGAGTTAAAATAAACATTTGTTTAAAAGTTTCATAATATTGTAGTTAAGGTTATGTTTTTAATGACATTTTAGATAATTTTATTATTCCACCATGAAAAAAAATACAACCGATATATATGGCAAAAGTATCATTAAAAAGCGAACATTTAGAGGAGCTAGATAATGAAATCAAAATATCACTAAAATTCTCATGGATTCATTTTTGGGGTTCTCCTACAGGTGAGATCTCTCTCATTCATTTGAGTTTTTTATATATATATAAACTGAATGTACTTTCACTTGAATGCATATCTATAAATTCGATAGTCATATGGGCTGAAATTTTTTTTGGTTTACACTATTAAAAAGCATTGAAAACTTGGGTTCTGAAAATATAAACCAATATTAATACTCATACAATGACTAATTTGGTCAATACTGAATTACTATTAGTGTGATCCCTTGAGTAAACAAAAGATTACATTGGTATACAGTAAAAACTCTATAAATTAACCCAAACATTAGATTCTTTCAGGCTAATTCCTCATGGCGATAGAGAGCGATGGTGGAGGCGATTTTAGGGTTTCTCAGAGTCAAGCGCAGGATGCAACGATGATTGATGTAGGTGAGAAGGGGCGTCCCCTAGGGGATCCACCGGACGCGGGAGGCGTATGGGTGAGAAAGGTGGTTGGGACTGGAGTAGGTGGGCGCCCGAGGCCGGAGAGTTTGGTGGATGTGGAGTTTGTGAGAAATAGGATGCAGCTGGAGTTTCCGGATGGGGAAGACGGAGAACCTGTCATCACAATCGGAGAAGAAGTCTTGATAGCCATGAATGGCCTTTGGAAACAGTGTATCATTGTGAAGGTTTTGGGGAGAAACATTGCCATAACGTCTTTGAACAGAAAGCTACGGGAGTTGTGGAAACCTAAAGGAGGGATGTCGGTAATGGATCTTCCAAAACAGTTCTTTATGATTCGTTTTGAACTAGAGGAAGAATATTTCACGGCCTTGACCGGGGGACCATGGAGGGTGTTTGGGAGCTACTTAATGGTGAAAGGATGGTCGCCTGAGTTTGATCCTTTACGGGACGAGATAGTTACAACGCCGGTGTGGGTTAGGATATCAAATCTACCTGTGAATTTCTACCACCCAGAGATTCTTATGGGCATCGCGAAGGGACTGGGAAACCCGGTGAGAGTCGACACCACGACACTACACTTTGAGAGAGCTCGGTTTGCTAGGGTTTACGTGGAGGTGAATTTGTCAAAACCACTAAAAGGCACAGTGAAAATCAACGGGGAAAGATACTATGTGGCCTATGAAGGGATGTCAAACATATGCTCGGGGTGTGGTGTATATGGACACTTAGTGCACAATTGTCCCCGACGTGTTACAGAAAGGGCTGCAGAGAAAGCAAATGGAACTAATCATGAGTCTTCAACGGCAACAGAAAGTGTTGATGATGGTTACACCACGGTGGTTCGGCGACAGGGACGAAAACAACAACCGTCGGCGTCCACGGTTGTGTTTTCAGCAGGAAAGACGGGAGGAAATCCTGACCGAAATTTGCGCGATATCTCGAATTCAAATGTGGAAACTATTATCACTCCCAACAGATTTTGCAATTTGGAGGAGGATACGATATCTCTAGCTTTAAGGGAAGTTGGGGCTACAAATCCGACGAATAAGGAGAATGAGATCCCTTTGAATCTGTCGGGAAAAGAAAGGAGTGCTACGCACGTTAGTGAAAAGAATCTCATAGGAGGCTTTGAGATAGGCTCAAAGGGGAGAAGAGACGGGCCTAAGGACAGACGGACGGGAAGCAATAAGGTAGTAGAGGTAAATGTTTCAAGGCCCAAACAACAAAAATCACATGGGCCCACACGAGGGTTAGTGTTTGGCCCAATTCGGAGTGAAGAAAAGTTATCTGTTTCGGGTAAACGGATGAGAGTTGAAGGAGAAACTGTTGGCCGATCTGGAGGAGTGTTCGTTACTAACAGAAATGGAGAATTGGAAAGTGACAGTCAAAACCCGAGTGTGGAGGAAGAGAATACCGGGCAGATGGAACCGAGCTCACAGAACAGAAGCATGGAGAGACAGTGTGAACCTCCGGTATCGACGGGGGGTTCGATGGAGAGTTAACAATTTGCCCTGGTGATTCATCGTTTGTTGGTCAAATTTTTAGTGGATTGTTTATTTTGGAATTGCCGGGGGGCGAATAAACCCAATTTCAGAAGATCGATTTGCTATATGCTGAAAAAGTTTCATGTGGATATGCTTGCTCTATTTGAAACGCATGCAGAGGGAGATCGGGCGAGTCGCATTTGTCAAAATCTGGGGTTTGACAACTCTTATAGAGTGGATGCTGTGGGCCAGAGTGGTGGTATATGGTTGTTGTGGAGGTCCGCAGTTGGTGTGGTATCTATTGTGGGATCATCCGATCAATTCGTTTATGTCAAAGTTGAGAATGCTTTGGAGGTTATGCATTTGATAGCTGTGTATGCAGCTCCGACGGCCAGTAGACGGAGCGGGTTATGGGAGCAGTTAAGAAATTCAATGGTGGGTGTGGATGAGCCATTGATTATTGGGGGCGACTTCAATACGATCGTCAGGTTAGATGAGAGGACTGGTGGGAATGGGTGTTTGTCTACGGACTCGGTAGCTTTTGGTGACTGGATTAATGAGCTTCACCTAATTGATATGGCACTACAAGAAAGATTGGGTTTTACGTCGGCAGATATCGACGTAAAATCGACGTAAAAGAGCATTTACGTCGAATTAACGACGAAAAAAATCGTCGTAAAACCGAAATCGTCGTAAAATCGTCGTAAAATTACCAACCCGGGAAAATCGTCGTAATATCGTCGGAAATTATTCGTCGTAAACGCGACGTAAAGTTTCCAACGAAAGAAGTCCATCATAAGAACGACGTAAAATCGATGTAAAATAACATCGATTTAACAACGATTAGGAGACGAACAATTTCAATTAAGGGAAACTAATTTTTTTAATTGTCGATGTTAATTCGTCGTAAAGTTTCGACGTAAATCCGACGTAAACATATTCGACGTAAATTCGTCGTTAATAATTCGACGTTAGATCGACGTAAATTTACGACGAAATTACATCGATTTATAAATTCATATTCGACGTAAATTCGTCGTTAATAATTCGACGTTAGATCGACGTAAATTTACGACGAATTTACGTCGATTTATAAATTAATTATTTAATTCGATTTTAATTTAATTAATGAATTTTTAAAATAATTAAAAAATTAAAAATAGAAAAAAACAATTTAAATTGAAATTTAAATTCGAAAATAATTTATAAATAAAAGAAAAAATTTAATACAAATTGTTTTTTACAAAAAAAACATAATCTACAATGTGATTTCGTAATCGTCGAGGTTGAGATCGACGTCACGAGTAGGCTCTCCGTCTTGGCCGCCTGTCGTTGCTGGACCGTCGTTTCCCGTCTGCACTACCGGAGCCGAAGACTGACCCTGCGTCTGCTGGTCCGATGGTCCAGTACCGGAAGTACCACCGGTCTCAAAAACCCTTCGTGCTCGCTGTTGCCTCGCTCGGATTGCGGTGGCCAACTGCGGAACCGCTTCCGCAACGATGTCGAAGAGATCGTGTATCTCGGTGAGCTCTTGCTTCTGGGCCACTTGCTCAGGCCTGAGAGTGGTGATCTCAGCATTGGCCGTAGCAAGCTCCTGGCGAAGATGACTCGGATCCTCCTGCGTTCGAAATCCGGAAGCCGAGGCGGCAGGACAGTCTCTAATAGAGCCCATCCCTAAGGTTCGGCCCTTCTTCTTCGGAGCAACCTACAAATGGAAAATGAAAACGTTAATTATTTATTAAGTAATAAATATAATAAATTTTAAAAAAATTGAAATAGATCATACCTCTTCGAAAATCTGGTCTTGCTCAGCGACGGTCAACGGTACTTGGATAGTACCGTCAGGTGTGGCCTGGGTCTCCCGCTCGGCGATCCGCTGCATAGCGGCATTGTAGATCTCCTCGGACCGAGCGTCGACAAAGCTCTCGTCCCTCTTCCGGTGAGTGGTCTCGAAGAGCTTCGTCATTGGAGGTAGTTCTCCTCCGTTCTCCTCGGCCTACCAATTAATAAACATTAATCAAAAATATTTAATAAATTATAGCAATAATTAAAATTAAAATAATAATGAAATAATTTATATTTAATTACTTACCATCATGAGACGTCTTCCTGCAAAAGATATTTGGCCAGAAGTGTGCGGGGTCACTAACTTCTGACCACTCACCAGATCGACCCGGTTTCGGACGGCCGAACACTTAGCCGCAGTGGTTTGGGCATGCGGGTCCAGCCAATACGCCTTCAACCCGTTCTAACAGGAAGAGGACATGGAGCTCGGCTTTGCGTCGTCTCCATCGGTCTCCCACTTCCGCTTCCAATCGGAAACGGTGTTGACTAGGCGTTTCTGCGCCTTCAGCCGGAAAGCTTCGCGGACCGTCTCGTTGATCCCGATGTCCCAGTTCCACCGTTGCTGCAAAAGAAAACAAAAAATTAGATAAACAATATAAAAGTAAGATTAATTAAATTTAAAACAATTTAAAATGATATAAATAAGATTTTAAAAACATTACCGCGAAGCACTTGTACCAGGTGTCGAACGTCTCTTGCGACACCTTGCTCCAATTGTAGTGCGGCTCCACGAAATGACTCTTAATTGTGTCGGAAACGCTCCGACCGACACAATTTTCCAAATCAAACCTATGAAAACAAAAAAAAAAACTTATTACATTAATATTTAAGTAAATTAAAGCATTAATTTTAAAAAATATAAAAAACAAAAAAGTTTACTTACCAATAAGAGCCTGTTCCGCTTTTCCGGGAACCAGACGTCGTAAAGCCCCCTGTCCCGGTAGGGCTAGTAAATCCTCAACCGTAAACTGGGCATACGAATGAGGAGGGGCGGGTACCGGTTCGGCAGCCGGCGGTGGAGGTGGTGGTGGAGGCGGTGGTGGAGACTGCTCCGCGGTATTCGGAACCTGGGAGGCTCCAGAAGATGAAGGGACATCGGTCCCGGTGTTTCCCGAGGCAGACACCCGGGAAGAGTGTCCGTCCGCCATGAAATTGATGTAATGCGTCCTCCGTCGAGTCATCGTCTGCAAAACCGATAAAATTTTATTTTTTAAATTAATTACAATTAATTTTTAATTACGATCCTAAATCTAACAAATTCCGATCCTAAATCTAACAAATTCCGAGCCTAAACTAATTCCCGATCTAAACCGTTTGAATTTCTAAACTATTTAATAATATTTTAATTTTAAGTAATTAAAAAAAAATAATTACCTTTTTGCGTCAAAAGGAGGAGGAATGCAAGGGAGGAGGAAGCAGAGAGAGAGGAAAGAGAGATGAGCGACGAAATGAGGAATGGGTGCGGTCCTATATATAGAATTTATTTTCCTCGTTAATTCGTCGTAAATTCGTCGTAATGGTCCCACCGTACAAGAAAACAAATAAGACAAACACACGTGGTTGTATCTGGGCTTTGCGACGATTTTACGACGAATCGTATAAATCATAAAAATTAAGACGGTTGTGTATCCACAAATCGTCGTAAATTCGTCGTAATATTACGACGAATTTACGACAAATTATACCAAAACTGATGAAATTCAAAAATTGAAACATCCATAAGCACATACAAGCATGTCTATTCATGATAAATGTGGTCTGTATAACTTTCTAGCATGTTTACATAACTTAATGAAGAATTTAGTAAGATCTAAGATAAATCCTTACATCTTGTGTAAATGTATATAACACCTTAAGATTACTTGATAAACACATATATGTCAAATTTTGAATTTTTTTTTTTTTTTGTTTAGAAAGTTGGTTTACCTTATGAGATGGTAAGCCATATCATTCTCTTCATCAAAATCCCCCCTGAACCCCAGAAAAGATTGATTATAAGATTTAGGGGTTACATTTCGTCGTAATCTCGATGGTATATTACGACGAATTTACGACGATCACACCCATTCGTCGTAAATTCGTCGTAATAAAAACCACATATCTACAAGTTCCTGAACCTTATACTACAGACCCTTATATAATACATCAGTTTACTTAGGAAAATGAACCCAAAAACCATTATGTAAGTTGGGAAAGCTAAACCCTATAGGGTTTAGGGTTTGCATTTTACGACGAAGTTACGACGATTTCTAAATAATCATCGTAAATTCGTGGTAAAAATCAACATATGTCCAAGTCAACACTTTAACAAATTTTATTTTCATTAATTGGCTTTAATTTTTCAAAAATTTAAATTTGACAAATGTTACATTGAAACATGCAATTAAATGTCAACATATTTAATTAGTCTTCATCAACATTTTCCTCGGTGTCCTCATCATCATTGTCATCATCACTGCTTGTTTGAAATTCGTCAGCACCTTCTTCAGTTTCGTCCCCATGTAGATCTTCCACTTGTCGATTACGTGGATCAATTAAAAGAACATTTTCTTCAACATCCGGTTCTGTAATGTCGACACAATCATCTTGTTGCATTGGCGGGAGATCTACACCATCAATTATACCCCTTGGAGCAACTTTGACAACCGCCAGCCATGAAATTCCTGTATTCCGAACTCGAGGATATGGAACAAAGGTGACTTGTTCTGCTTGAGATGCAAGTATAAAAGGTTCGAACTTATTGTATCGCCGAGATGCGTTTACATCTACCACTCCGAATTTGTTAATTCGCACTCCACGACCTACTGTAGGATCAAACCAATCACATTTGAATAGAACAGTTTTCATTCTGACTAATCCGGGGTATTCCACTTCAATTATCTCTTTGATGATCCCATAAAAGTCTACTTCACCTCGTACACAAACTCCATAGTTTGTAGTTGCCCGTTGAGTGCCATGACTATAAGTATGAAAAACATAGCCACGTGTGAAATACATAGCTGCAGTAGTTATCTTCGAAATAGGACCTAGGAGCAACTCATGAAACCATACTGCATATGTCATGTCATCATGTTCGACTTGACCTTTTAACCACAATGCATAATGTTGGTCTTTCCGCTTGTTAATTTCATCTTCTGAAACTTGACTCACGAAAGTGCTGAAATTTTAAAACA